AGTCAGAATGATCGCCAACGTTCGGAACGGACAGGCATCCTAAGAAGAAGAAGATTTAAGTCCCACCGAACATATTGGTACAATAATGGGACAATCTTCCTCAAAGTGTGATCAAATGTGATCAAAAGTATGTCTGTCTCGTAAAAATTTCTTTTGCTTCCAAGAAAAGCATATCAAAGTAAAAAATTTTCATTACACTTAACATTTAGTAAACTATGTTACAATCGAAAAAATCAGAAAAAAAAAATGTAATTTTTAGGATGAATATAATGCTCAGTACTGTGTATTGAATACGAAATAAAGTATAAGAACCAATTACAGCAGATGCATAAAAAAAGTCGACCTGGAGAAATGAGAAAGATGAAAACACAATAAAAGTTTATAAGGAATGTACCAATAGGACATAGATGAAAAAAAGACAGAGCTGTGAACGTAGTGAAATGTCTAATATTCTAAATAAATTAATTAATATGTATATATGTATATATATATATATATATATATATATATATATATATATATATATATATATATATATATATATATATATACGGTGAGTCGGCACTAACGGGACGGAAGACAACAACGAAAGGGTAAAAGATTTAAAAATTGGTTTACTTAAATAGTTTGTAAGTTAATAAAAGCGCATATCAAAGTTATATTTTTTTCTAATGGGACACCCTGTATTTTATTGCAGTTTCTAATTGTCCGCAAAAAATAAGGTGTAGTTTCATAAGAATTCCCCTTACTTAAGTACAGAGTTTTCAGAGTTATATCGATTTTTCTTAAAATGTAAAGTTTTAAAAGCAAAGTCATTCTAATTGTAAATAACGTAAAAACTGTGACACCTAGGTACAGTACAACCTTATACTATTCAAAAGAAATTAGTTTAATATAATAATTTATTAATATACATCGTATTCCATTTAAAATAAGCCACATATTACACATTTAACATTCCAATAATGAATCTGTAAATTTTGAGCACCCTGTAACAAACTGTTTAATGTTCAATCATAGAATGCATTAAACAAATGTCCAACTATTTAGACATAAGAGAAAGTTTTGTATAATTACTTAAATAAGTTGAGAATGACTCTTTTAAAACTTTAAGGCGCGTACAGATATGCGCGCCAAACGGTATACGTACCGTACTCGTACAGATCCTTGAAAATATATCTAAATCGTACTGATCGCATACTTATCTCAATCCATGGAAAGCGATAAAACCAACAACGAACACACATGTGCGAAATTATTCATTTTATTTATAATTTGGGTACTGATTTATCGTGTTTCTGTTTGTTACAAAAATAAAAATATGTACAATAATCAGTTTACTGTTTTCTCACGTTTCTCTAGGAAGAAACACGTCATTCGCACAATGTCGATTTGATGAGACAATGAAAATATTCGCTGCGTCTAGTAGCGCCGTCCAAACTGAAAGTCTGGAAGACGAGTCACGATGAAACAGTACGCAAGCGGTTTTTCTGCCGTACACATTAACGAATATAGCGTTCGCATACCGTTTGGCTCGTATATGGGTACCGAGCTTTACGTTTTAACCCTGCTGTACCGTTCGAGTCAACTATAAAATGTACTGTTCGGGTCAATATGACCCAACTATGGTTTACCTTCCTTAATCGAAATAAAATAAGCTAATGGTGCTAAACAAAACTTTATTAACAAAAAAATATAGTTAATTAAACAAAAAATATGTTGCTAATGTAAATTGAACCTTATTTAAAAAAAATAAAAGGCATTTTTTTCGTTGCCAGAAAAGCGTAAGAACAAATACCTACAAAATTTAATATAGTTAGAACTGGGACAGTAATAAAAAGAATGTGTTCTACAAATATGTTTGTGACATATATAACATAAAATATTAGTCTTGTTATCGTTTTTAGATCAAAATTTACAGCATGCTCATTTAGTAGGCGGAGCTGGATTGTCCAGAGACGGTTTACTAGAACTCAGAACAGTCTGTACATTGGTATTCTTCTTCTAATAGTGCCGTGCACCTATAGTGCGTTGGCGAATTATCTTAAGGCCAGACGTCTGTCTTTTGCGGCATGCAAAACATCGCCAGTGTTATTTATGCCTGTCCAGTTTTTATGTTCCGTAGCCACGACATTTGAGTAGTTCTCTCCCAGTATTTGCCTTTCTTAAGACTTCCTCGTTTCTCATCCTATCTGTCCATGCCTCATTCTTCTTCGCAACGTACACATTTCGAAGGCCTCCAACTTATTAATGGAAGGTACTCTTAACTGGTGTAGACGGAAGTAACAAAAAGGAAAAATAGATCTTGGGAAAAGAAATGCGAATACATAGAACAAATGATTGGAGGATCGAAAAGTTCAGAAGCCTGGAGAACGCTAAAATCTATGAAAACATCAACCAACAATAAAGTAGATTTAAGTAACATAACAGAAAAAGACTGGGTAGACTACTTTAAGCAGTTACTACAAGAAGGACGACAAAATTTTCAATACGAAAATGCAAACAGAGACATATGATCAGAATTCATTGAATTGAACATGACAAATATCGTAGAAGCGATAAGATCTATTAAACTTAAAAAAGCGCCAGGCCCAGGAAACATCTCACCAGAATTTATTAAATACGACTTAGCTAAACTGTGGGAAATGCTCAAAGATCTGTTCCAACGATGCCTGAATGGAGAAGAGACCCCGTTAGAATGGCGTGAGGCCTATATAACCCCAATATACAAAAAAGGAGCACGAAACAATGTCAGAAACTATAGAGGAATTGCTGTCATCCCCACTATAGGAGGACTGTACTCCCGAATACTTAGAAACCTCATAGAAGAAGACATTCGTATGAAACAACCAGAAGAACAATGCGGATTCAGAGCTGGAAGATCGACTATAGATAATCTATTTACCCTTAAAATATTAATCGAAAAGCGACAACAAAGAAACAAAGAATCACATATAGCCCTGATAGATCTTGAAAAGGCATATGATAACGTGCCGATAAATAATTTATGGAGTGAAATGCAAAACATGGAAATAAAACCTTCGTTAATAATAGCAACTCAAAAGTGGTATGTAAACAACACCGCATCAATTAAAATAGGTGGCAAACTTAGTGAGAAATTCAACACTACGCAAGGGCTACGACAGGGATGTTGTTTATCACCTACGCTGTTTAAAATATATCTGGATCGATCTCTACAAAAGTGGCAAAGACAATGCAGAAATATGGGAATACAAATAGATGAGGATATTCTCTATACACTATTCTTCGCTGATGAACAACTGGTGGTAGCAGAAGATATAGACGACCTCAGCTATATGGTTAGGAAACTACAAACAGCGTACGAAGAATGTGGACTAACAATGAACTTACAAAAATGCGAATATCTCTCAGTGGGGAAAAATACAGTCGAAGACCTGACATTAGAGAGTGACAAAATCAAAGGAACAAATAGAGTAAAATACCTAGGAGTAGTGTTTACAAAAGACGGAAATAGCCATGAAGAAATAAATACAAGAATAAACAAAGGCAGAAACATTACCAAATGCCTAAACTCCATTCTCTGGGATAAAAAAATCACAAGAACGACGAAAAAACGAATATATAAGACGATGGTTGAGCCGGCGGAACATACGGAGCAGAGATATGGGACACTAGTAAAAGAAACAGGAAAAAATTACAAGCTACCGAGATGGATTTTATGAGAAGAAGCTGTAGATTGACAAGGATGGACAGAATCCGCAATGAAGAAATAAAACGTAGAATGGAGCAAGAAAAAAACATTATAGATGAAGTCCAGAAAAAACAACTAACTTAGTTCGGTCATGTAAACAGAATGGCAGACGAGAGGTGGCCAAAGAAAATATTAAAATGGATCCCAACCGAAAGAAGGAAAAGAGGGCGTCCAAGAAGAAGCTGGCGAGATGACATGAATGAAGCCATGGAAGGAAGACAGCTAAATGAAGCCGACACCCGAGATAGGAAACGATGGAAACTAGGGACAGGAAAACAACGACAGTTGTAAACAACCTGTACTATATATACCTATATATACCTATATAGTAACGTCCATGTTTCCATGCCGTATAGCAATATGGACCATACATAGCATTTAACCATCCAGTAGCGCAGATTGAAGGAAAGATTGCGGTTACATAGTAGCGGTTTAAATTTGATAAAAGCTTGACTTGCTTGTTCGGTACGGCATTTTATTTCTTGTTGAGGATCCCATTGGTCATTCATGATCATTCCCAAGTATTTAAATGCTTCCACTTGATCGATTGCAGGACCATCTACTTGCAGTTGTATTCTTAAAAGTGCGTATTTTCTTATTGCCATGCATTTAGTTTTTCCAGCATTTATCTTCAAGCCATATATTTTTCCTACGGTGTTTATTTTATTTAACATTAACTGCACAACATGTTCGTTGTCTGTTATTATCGCGGTGTCGTCGGCGTAACGAATGTTATTTATCGGGAACCGGTTGACCTTTATTCCACACTCAGAGCCTTCCAGTGCCCCTGCAAAAATGTTCTCTACATAGAGATTGAAGAGCATAGGAGACAAAATACACCCCTGTCGCAACCCTCTTAAAATTTCAAATTCTTCAGTGTTGGTTGATTTGTTCAGTCTCACTCGTACTTTTTGATTCCAATAGAGATTCTGGATAACTCTCTACATTGGTATAGGGAAGTCTTATGAAACTGTACTTTATTTTTTGCCGACAATTAGAAAATGATATAAAATATAGGGTGTCCCGTAAGCAAAAATATAACTTTGATACGCCGCACTGTATTGGACGCCCTGTATATTTCAATATGATTTTAAAATGTAGCCCTTATCAACCTTCAAACTATAAATTAAAAAAAAAAATTAAATCTTTTACCGTTTCGCTGTAATCTTCCCTCTCGTTAGTGGTAAATCACCCTGTATATTATATATATATTGTTTTATTGCATTAAATACATGTTAAGTCTTGTCTTGTCATTAAATACATCTTGTTACTCACTCAAACAATGGGACCTAACAGAACCCAGAACTACATGGGTATCTAAAAGTGTCTTTGACTGAAAACTTAATTTGCATAGTTTGCATTTAAATTGTTTGTCTGGGTGACAATTCGACTTCTGATGCCTAGTCAAATTTTGTTTAGTGTCGAAACTATGACAACATCTATTACAATTAAATAAGAAATGAGTCTTATAATGTCCAATGTGTTTATTGAAAGCCGTTTTGTGTAAAAAAACTGAAAAGCATCTATGGCATTTGTAAGTTTTCAAATAACAACTGTGTTTGTCCAAGCCCTTAACATGTGCAAATGCTTTGCAACAAATGTGACACCTATAAGGTCTAATGACACCATGAACTTTTTGATGAAATTGCATTTGCAACCTGCTAACAAACTTCTTATTACAGATATTACATTCAAATATATCTTTTTCGTCTTGTTCAGAAATTGACTCATCAATAATTTTACTAATAATAGCGTGTGCTCCACGGATTTTATTATATTTTTTATTTTTCTTTTTAACAGTACGTGAAGAATCACCGGAATCATTGATTTTATTATATCTTACCTTTTTCTTTTTAATAATTTGTGTAGAATCATTTACTAAATATTTAGGAGGTTTGGAAGATTTCACAATACATTTGTGTTTTTTCAATCTCTTAAAATATCCAAATGTTCTGAAACAAATATTACACAGAAAAGGCCTACTGACGTCATGATTTTGAATCAAATTTTGGTGACATTTAAATATTTCTTTTCCATCCTTTTCAGGATTTAATACATCAATAGTTTCAGTAGTAATAAAATCTTTACTACCATTAGCTACTGGTACTATTGCATTTTTAGCTACTGGTTTCTTCTTGACAATATGTAAAGAATAATGCATTGAATATTCATCTTTCGAAATGAATGTTTTACTACAAAATCTACAAATGATAATTTTATTAATAAAATGTTTATCTAAATGTTCATTTCTCTCCTTCTTCGTGTGAAAAGCTACAAAAAAAAAACATAGATAAAAGTATAGATATCGAAGGTCAAAATGGAGAATTAGACCAATCAAGTTAGTAAAAATAAACTTTTTTTCATCACAACTGATTCATCGATTTTTTAGTGGAACTATCTTTAAATAAACGATCAAAACGTGAGACTCATTATTTTGTTCATAACTTAAAAACTTGTCTATTTAGATATTTGAAAGAAAGTTCGGTCAATGATAGTTCTCAGTGCATAGATTAAAAAAGTTAATGAGACCTAAGTCTGAAAAACTATTACGCTGAAGCTACAGCGTTCTGAAGTTAATGGATTCAGGTGCTCAGTGTACGTCAAGCGCACATATTCACAGTCAATTGAACGAAAATATTGATTTATGAAAGAACAGAGAAATATTTTCTTGATACATATTTGCACGCTGAATATGAATCAGTGGTTAAAAATAGATGTATCGTAGATTAGTCTTAAGAAAACTGCTAAAAATTCTTCGAAAAACTGAAAAACAGCGATAGAAAATGTGTTGCTAGAGACTATAAGAATTATCATATCGACCCTCCCAACGAAAACTGTCTTAACTCATTTTTTTTCCAATTTTGAGTTATTACCATAAACAGATTTCATTACTATAACTCAAATCTTAATATAGACAACACAATATACATTAATGTAAGGTAAATGACCAGTAATTGCCACTATAAGAAAGTTAAAGCTAAAAACCATATAAAGCCAAAAACCAATAATTGCCACACAATTTTTCAAAATACCAATTATTGCCACCCAGTCATTGCCATACAGAAATAACTCTACATTTTACTGAAAAATCTTGTTTATTAATAAAAATTCCACAGGTATTAGGCCTCAAATACATCCACTGGCAAAGTAAATTCATAAAGGATCCGTTCACCAGTGGATAAAATAATAGGGGTCGGCGGTATGCCTAAAATACGATTTTCGTTAACAAAGTAGAAGTATTTTTCATTACAAATAAAAATGTTCTTTTTAGCACTAACAGATTTCATAGACATTACTTGTACATAATTTTTGTCCATAAGGCCTTGGATAATACAAACATATATGTATGTCATGGATTTTTTTTACCACCTAGGAATTTCACAAGTACATAGTTTCCCACACTAAGTTCTCCGTGAGTTAATGGGCAAAATTCTTTGTTAGGGTCATCACAAAAGTCTATATCATCAAAGCTGCTACCACTCTCGACCCACTCTTCATCCTTTCCATCGTCATCAGAATTATTTCGTTTTAGCTTCTCTTTCAATAGACATTCTTGCTCTCTTGTAATTTTTCTTTGGTGTTTTCTACTTCTTTCTTTTTCTTTTCAGTTCCTTTTTTCAAGTGATATTCACGCCAAGCTTCTGATTGTACCAAGGATGGAATCTTTTCCTTTAGTTTTATCTTCTTTGTCTGAGGTTTTGGGTCTGACCAAAACAGTGCTTTCTTAAATGGGGTAGGAACTTTGCATGGACTCTCCAAGAGTACATGTGATGTACTTGGTTCAGGAGTAGACAATATATCTTGAGCTATGAGTACCAGAGATATTTGGTTGGAAATTTTTTTACTGGTGTGCAGTTGAGTTGAAAATATGGTAATATCGTTTTGTATGGTACATTTAATTTGGTTTGGTAGTGTTTCCATTGTCCATTCTTTCCATATGTTAAAAAAGGATTTATCCTCAATAGAACTATTCCAATCCTGATTTTCATTTAAAGTTACCTTGAACCTATTTAAAGTTTCTTCACCCGGCTTTCCTTCAAAATACTTAAGTGCTTAAGTGACACTCTTTGTGTTACAAAGCTTGTTAAAAACAAGCGAAACCATTTGTCACTGGGACGGCTATGAATAAATGATTTCTCTCTTTCTGTAGAATTTATTATTTTCTGAACTGTATCCAAAAGCTGAACTTTTGAAACAGGAAATGTCTTTCTGATAGATGTAAAATCCATTTCACTAATTCATCTTCTTTGGTTAAAATTGTAAAAAGGTCCATAGAACAAAATAATGGTGACTTTCCATCTCTCTGGGATTCCCTTTTTCATATTCTCTAGGGTTTTGGCCAATTGCTCTTTCGGATAATTCCGTTTAGGTGCCATTTCCTGAATGAATAAAATACTTGTAATACCAAATATTAATGTAACCAATTATTGCCACTTTAGAACCAGTGATTGCCACCACTGGCAATAATTGGTAAAAGTAAAGTTTTTGTAATAAAAAAAAATAGTGGCAACACCGTAATTTTAAATAGTAAATTTACACACTATAATGAATTAAAAATAAGCCAAACCAATAATGGCCACTTATGGCAATGACTGGTATTCATAAAATATTTTGTAACCAGTCATTGCCAGGTACATTTCTTTAGAAATATATACCCTTAACTGAATTTAAACAGCAAACAAATGTAGTTTAGAGTATTTAAGAGGAGCACATGTGTAAATAATTTTATAAAACAATCATTTACAAAAGTGAATAAGAAAAAGAAAAATGTACTTACCTTAATTTTTTCATAAGAAATCACAAAAAATAGGAAGAAATTTTACTACACAACACTACTCTAAGGGGTATACAACAGAAATGGCTGATGCTTGGGTATTGTACAACAGTATACAGTTGCCAAACTTAATAAGGTATTAGTACTTGCAAAAAATATAATTTGATTTCAAGTAATTTTCTTATTTTCTTAGAATTTGAGGGTCAGTGGCAATAATTGGTAGAGTGGCAAGGACTGGTTGTTTACCTTAAATGTAATATCTCAATGCTCTCTGTACTTTACTGCGAAGAAAGTAGTATTATGGAGTTACTATTGGCGATGTCAAACGAAAGAGGCGGCACGGTGCGGTAAAAATTTGAACTAGTGCACGTAGGATAACAAAACATTTTGTATTTGGTTATACACACATAACATAGTTATAAACATTTTAAATATTATTAAATAAATCACAATAAGGTGACAAAATATTAAAAAGTAAATGTAAACAGTATTGTTCTGCACGGCAATGCAGTAATTATCGATCGGAAGGAATAACTATGCACTTTTTTCCTCGTACTCGTGACAAAAATCGTTGGGCACAGGAATTAAAAATTGGGAAATCGATATCAAGTGATATGATCGTGTGTTCACAACATTTTTTATCAACAGATTTCACACAACACAACGTGGCCAGCCTTTAACAAGGCTTCGCCTTCTTTTAAAGGTCTTTCTGTATCTCCTATATATTTCAAAGTATGGAGCAGGCTAACTTCAATTTCTTTATTTACCATTGCGTTAACAAAAAAATAAATCGAAGATAATAAATACGGATAATTTTTAGACACAACAATCATTCACCTACAAAGATTATGGTAGCTCTAGCTCTGATTTGTTTTCCTACGTGCGTGATCAGCTGATCATCTGTCAAAGCGCCCCCTATAGTTCGTTGACAGCGACAATAGTATTCGCTGTAAATTTGTAAGAAGGAACCGAGATACGGATACGTTTAAAGCGAATAAAATTATAGGTTATGTACATGTCGTTTCACATGAGATGAAGTAGAGTTCATTCGCTTAGCTCGGGCATATTTTGACAGATTCATTGTCGGAAACCTACAACACAACAATTCCTACTTCTGAGTATTAATTCGCGACAGCCAATTCCGACAGGGGGCGCTGAAGATTTCAAAGATGAAGATAATTTCCCGATAACTTCGGGAAATTAAATAATTTTGTCATTTGATCTTTAAGCTATAAAACGTTTAATATAAATCATTTACACGTGTGTTTTGCCAAAGTAAAAGTTGGAGTACGTTCTTCAAAGTTTATTTGTTTGTGATTCAAGTTTATACATAAGGTAATTGACTCCCAAACCTGAATAAAAATAAAATTAAATGTTTGTTTTTCTACAGTATATCTGTAACACGGGAAGTAAAATTTACATTATCTTAATTATTTATATGGTTGAAAGATCGGTAGAGATCTTTAGTTGAGGGTTAGGCAGTTTTTGGAGCTGGCCACGTTATATTTTGTAAATTACGCCTTGCGTTTTCTATTAATAACTTCATGAGACAGTTGGGGCAATTTAGCTGATGGAACAGCATTTTTCCCGAGTCTTCTCAATTTAGTTTCAGGAGTTACTATAAAGTATAAATATATTAAAATCTAAATTATATTTTATTTAACACTTGGAAAGTAATCGTTCTCAGTAAAATGTAAACTGCACACAGTCATGTACTTGGTTATAGGTTTGCCAATTGCATTCGCAAAATGCATTGCCATACATTTCTCATATTCTCATCCAGCGGAAACTTATGTATGGAATTTGTTTGTGAATTATAATAGGATGAACATTGAGGAACACTGCAATAGTTTTTTGAAGTCGAAGTCATTGTAATTACAATATAAACCGGTTGCTAATATGTATACAAATTAATGACAATTTCAAAGTTTTCCCGAAGTCAATGCTTTTGAAATCTACCACCAGGCGTCGCCCACTTTTCGGTTCCTCGCCAATAGCTTAAGTATACTACTATTGCAGACTTCTTTCTTTGAAAAAAGAAGAGTTATTCTAAATAGTGGAAGTGCATACTAAATCCATCAAATTTTGGGTAGTATATATTTAAAAAATATATTTTAGTTATTATAATTTAACATAATTATTTATTATATGGTGCAGATAAATAAAAATTGATTGTCGGTAATTCGCAAAGTTCTATTTTATTTACTATTTAGTTTGTTTACTATTAATATTGGCTATGAGTACGTGTGCTTGGTTGTATAGTAATTTCCAGCCACATTTAGTCTGTCAAAAGTAACTAACTTCGCAAAAAAATAATTACTAAATTCACTAGACAGTTCGGAGTGGGAATAGCGAACCGAGTATACTATTTTTGTAAGTAGAACCTTGTTTATTGTTATAATAATGTCCCAGAGAACTAAACAAATTTTGGGATTACTTGTTAATAATAATACACAAATAGCATCAGGTAAGTTGCTGTCATTATATTTATTTGAAT